GATCGGCAAATGATCGGCAAATGATCGGCAAAATGATCAACAAATGTGATAATATGAAGTATGTCCACCCTGCTGTTATATACTGCATATCATAATTAGATAAATTTAATAAGCTAAATTTCATTTTTATAATTACTAGTGCTAGATATTAAAATATCTTATTTTTTTAAAAATTTTTAATAAATAATTTTATATTTACCATTTGAGGATAATATTAAAATTTACTACATTAATTTTGATTTTGATCCTAAATTAATACAAAAGTTGCTAATTATTATAATTTATTTTAATTTTACTTATAATACATTAAAACTTTTATTATAAAATTTTATTATTATTTTTTTAATAAAAAAAGAAATTTAATTACCAGGCAAAACCATTAAAAGGAACGATAAATCATAATATAACAAATTATGTAATCATTATAAGCTTTATTTTCCTACTGATACTTTGATTTAAGGATAGGCCATTTATCGAGCATTCACTATTTGAAAAATTATGTCAGTATAACTCGTTACTAAGTATTTATTAAGTTACGATACAATATGCCCGATAAAAACAGTTACTGAGGCACTATCAGAGGGAAACTGCCGGGAAAAATCAAGCAGTTTCCCCCCTTTCTATTGCAAAGGGCCCATATGATCAGTAAAATTGGCTGAACTCCGCTCAGCATAAAAATTAATTAATTTCGGTAGAATTATAATCACGATAAAATAGTAATAATGCGATTTTGTCTGAACACGGATAATATTTTCGGAACTTTAAATAACCGATGCCATACTATGACACGAGCTGGGTGAAAAATTTAAAATCTAATTTCCACAATTTAAAGGAAATGATTATGATTATTTAATACAAAACTTTTATTCTCGGAGAAATTAAATTCTTTGCTAACGATATTGTTCGTCATTATATTAATATTGATACATGCGGGTAGATCACCAAAAATGGATATTTTATGATGGTCGGCCTAATGCTATTCCGTGGAAATTATTTCACCGCGGCCCGTTCTGATGTTCTAACCAATATATCTTCAAATTTCCTTTGGTTCGTTTGTTTTAGGTAGACCTTCTAAATCATAAAACCTATAATACGTACATTTTGTCAACTAATTGAATGGAGGTATTCCGACAGATTAATCGATCCAATAATTGTTGTTGACTTGTAGATTTTAATTATTTCTATAAGAAAACGAAAATGTATAAATACATCAGGTCAAAAGCGAATCCTCTTATGAGCAACTATTTAACGAAATAATAAAGTTGATTCATATAGTAAATTCTACCCATAATAATAATACATAAGCATATAGAAAAAGATTATAAGAAATATTTCACTTTTAATAATCATAATAAGATATAAAACAAGTCAATTTGCAACGTATATGAAAAAGTCAAATCAAAATAAATAAATAAAATAAAATTCCGTTTTAATCACAATTCGTTTATTACATAAACCAAATAAATCAACATTTAAGGAAAATAAAGAAAAGAAAAGAAAAGAAGGAATGACAGATATACCAAATAACAATTCGAATATGCTCTCACAAAAGTCTTCTCAGACCGAGTTAGATTTTCCTGATGTAGATGCTATACAAAAAGATGATAAAACTTCAAACGAAAATGACCATCAAGTAAAATTTTTGCAATTGTTTCGATACGCAACTCCCTTAGATAAATTAATGATGTTTTTTGGTTCAATTGGAGCAATGGCGAACGGGATTTCCATGCCATTAATGACTATAATATTTGCTGATGTCCTTCAAGCTTTTGCTGATTTTGCTATCACCGAATCAAAGGGAGGAGACATAAACGTAGCTGCAGCGGAGTTAAAACGTGTTGTTAAAATTAAAGTAATATTATTTGTTATCTTGGCCATTGCAGTATTTAACCTTTCTTATCTTCAAATGTCTCTTTGGATGATTTCCGGTGAAAGACAAGCAAAGGTAATTTCTGTGTAAAATGTAATTGTTTGATTTATGAATTATAAATATATAACTTGTGTTGAATCTTATAAAATTAATAGAAAGTACGTCAAATGTATTACGCGGCCATTCTTCGTCAAGACATTGCTTTCTTTGATAAAATGTCAACAGGAAATATTACTAATCGTATATCCTCTGACTCTGACTTGTATCAAGAAGGTATTTCTGAAAAGGTTGGTGTAATCATACAGAATGTTGCCACATTTATCACTGGGTTTGCCATTGCTTTCACCAAAGGTGAGATATATGCTATGATAGAATTTCTTTTTTTCTCAAAATCATTGCAATGCGCTAAATAGAATTTTTTTTTTTTAGGATGGAGACTTGCACTTGTTCTTTGTTGTGCTTTTCCTTTACTTGCTGGTGCCGCTGGTTTTATGTCAAAATTACTTGCAAATTCTACTAAGAAAGGACAAGGTCAATTCAGAAGCCAAAAAAAAAATTTTTTTTTTTTCATCACGATTTTACATATAATTCATATTCTCTTGTTTAAATTTTTTAGATGCTTACGGAGAAGCTGGAGCGATAGTTGAACAAGTCCTTTCAGGAATAAGAACGGTAACAGCATTTGGAGGACAACAACGTGAAATAACCCGATATACTATAAAACTTCAGAAAGCATATAAAATTGGAAAGAAGAAAGCTGCAATTACCGCTATATCAATGGGATCAATGATGGCTATTATCTATTGTACTTATGGTCTCGCTTTTTGGTACGGAAGTATCTTGATCGTTGCTGGAAAAGCTACTGGTGGTGACGTTTTGAATGTTTTTTTCTCCATCCTTATTGGTACCTTCTCCATCGGTGGAGCCGCTCCAAACTTTACAGCGATAGGTAATGCGATAGGAGCTGCAAGTAATTTATTCTCCTCCATCGATCGTATACCCCCTATCGATTCAGCTTCATCTGATGGTAAAAAGCTCAACAAAGCTGCGGTAAAAGGTCGTCTTGAATTCAAAAATCTTAAATTCCATTATCCGGCCCGTCCGGATGTACAAGTTCTTAAAAATTTTAGTCTTACAATTGAACCTGGTGAAACTGTCGCTCTTGTCGGTACTTCTGGAAGCGGTAAATCCACAATTGTCGGTTTATTAGAACGTTTCTATGATCCGATTGAAGGTCAAATTTTATTAGATGGTGAAGATATTAAGAGAATAAATATCAAGTCATTACGTGCTCAAATTGGTCTTGTTGGTCAAGAACCTGTCCTTTTCCCTGAAAGTATACGACAAAATATCGCCTGGGGTGCCAATCCTGATGGGCCCGAACCTTCTTTGAAAGACATTATCGAAGCTTGTAAAAAATCAAATGCGCATGAGTTTATCGACGAATTGCCTCAAAAGTATGATACTGACGTCGGTGAAAAAGGGTCTCTCATGTCCGGCGGACAGAAACAAAGGTGTGTTCAATAAGATTTATTTCGTCATGAAATGTTATAACTAAATCTCGAAGTTCTTTAATTATAGAATTGCTATCGCACGTGCTTTAATCAAGAATCCCGCAATATTATTACTTGACGAAGCAACTTCAGCTCTAGACACGGAATCGGAACGTCTCGTGCAAGAGGCTCTTGATGTTGCAGCAACCGATCGTACAACAATTGTTGTAGCCCATCGTCTTTCTACTATTAAGAATGCCAATAAAATAGTTGTAATGTCACATGGTGAAATTCTCGAAGTTGGTCGTCATGACGAACTCACCGCTTCAAAAGGTGTTTACTATGGCCTTGTAAAGGCTCAAGAACTTAAAACTAAGGGGGACGCAGAAATATCCGGATTTTATGATGATGATGATTATGAAAATACTGAAAGCGAAAAGGCAATTATGTTTGATGAAAAGAAACACAAAAATTATCTGAAACGTATTGAAACCAAGGCTTCAACTGTTAAATCAGTTTATGATATTGAAGAAGAACTAGAAATGAGATCGAAACAATCAGCTCCGATTGCAAGAGTTTTTAAATTACAAAAACCCGAAATGCCGTACATAATAATTGCTTCTATCGGAGCCGCTCTAAATGGAGGCATTAATCCATTATTTTCTATAATATTCTCCTCTTTGTTGAACGTTTTCACCAAAATTGATAGACCCAATGAATTGCGTAGAGATGCAAACTTTTGGGCAGGAATGTTTATTGTTCTTGCTGGTGTTGCAGCCATATCCAGTTTTGTTCAACAGGGTCTCTTTACTTTGTCCGGTGAATTACTTGCAAAAAGACTTCGCAAGATGGTATTTTCCCATCTTTTGAAACAGGAAATCGGTTACTTTGATGACGAAAAAAACAATACCGGAACTTTGACTTCAAGATTGGCAACAGACGCAACTAAGGTAGACGGTTTGACTGGTGCCCTTATGGGCAGTATTATTCAATCTGTCTCCAACATGGTATTCGGTTTGGTGAGCGTCGTTTAAATTTAATTTTTGATTTATTTCTTCATGATTTCAAAGATTTAAATTCGTTTGATTATTTTTTGTTAGGCGATCGCTTTCGCATATGGTTGGAAATTAACTTTGGTTATATTAGCCGTGACTCCCTTGATATTTGCCTCCGGAATTTTACAAATGAAAACTCATGCTGGTTTTGGTGCTAAAACACGTAAAGCATATGAAGAAAGTGGTCAAATCGTTCAACAATCGGTCGCAAATATGCGTACGATTGCATCTTTATCCCTCGAAGAAACCTTCAAAGAGTTATATAAAAAAGCTATCAAAAAGCCTCATAGTATTGCCATCAGAGGAAGCATAGTGTCAGCTATTGGTTTCGGTCTATCTCAAGGTCTATTATTCTTGGTGTATGCACTTGCTTTTTGGTACGGAGGTGAATTAGTAGCGAGTCAAGAATACACTCAAGTAAGTTTTGCTTCTAGTTGAGCTTTTTGAAGTGTATTTGTAAAATAAATAATTAAAATTTCGAAATCATTTGAATTTGTATAGGGCAATATGTTGAAAGTCCTCTTTGCAGTTATTTTTTGCGCTATGGCTGCCGGACAAATTAGGTTGGTTATTTTGAAATCAAATTTTTTCGAGTTAAAAGGCTTTCTCAAGTTATAAAGTTTTTGAAATTTTTTTCTGATTTATTTTTTTTATTTTTTTTAAAGTACCTTTGCTCCTAATTCTGCAAAGGCAAAGAATGCAGCAATTTCAATCTTTGAGATTCTTGATCGTGAATCTAAGATTGATCCGACTAATAACGAAGGGAAGGACAGACCTACTCCTATTACTGGATCTGGTGAATTACATAATGCACAATTTAACTACCCTGCTCGTCCAGAATTAAAAATTCTTCGTGGCTTAGACCTTGCAATTGAATCCGGTAAAACAATTGCTTTGGTTGGTGGATCAGGTTCTGGAAAATCTACAGTCGTATCATTATTACTTCGTTATTATGATGTACTATCTGGCACAGTTACTGTTGAAGGGGTTGATGTTAAGGATTGGAATATGGAATATTTAAGAGCAAATATGGCTATTGTTGGTCAGGAACCCGTATTATTTGATTTCACAATTGGTGAAAATATCGCTTACGGTAAAGAAGGATGTTCGCAAGAAGAAATTGAAGCTGCGGCAAAAGATGCCAATATACATAGTTTTATCATCGGTCTACCAAAAGGTTATGACACGCCCGTTGGCGAACGAGGTGCACAACTTAGTGGTGGTCAGAAACAAGTAAGTTAATGAATCTTTTTATTTTTTTATTTTTATTTTTATTATAATTTTGAAAACTAAAGATTTTGATTTCAAAAAAAATAATAGAGGATCGCAATAGCGCGTGCTTTAATACGTCAACCAAAACTCTTACTTCTTGACGAAGCAACGTCTGCTCTAGATTCAGAATCAGAAAAGGTTGTACAAGATGCATTAGACAGTGCCTCTAAAGGACGAACAACAATAACAATAGCACATCGATTATCAACAATTCAAAATGCCGATTTAATATGCGTCGTAAAGAAGGGCAAAATTGTTGAACAAGGTCAACATTTCGATTTAGTAGCACAAAAAGGATATTATTATGAACTAGTTAATAAACAAAAGTTAACCAATCTACAATGAAAATGTAATTATGTTTATATATTTTTTATAGCGGAGGATTTATTAGATATTTTTTTACATATATTATATAGATTTTATTTTATTTTATTTTTATTTTTATTTTTTTTTTTTCCTTTTAAAATAATAATAATAATTATAATAATAATAGTAAATAAATAAACGAAATAATTAATATCAACTGGAATCAAACTCATCACGAAATATCTACGAGTGTATAAAATATAGAAATATATGACCAATTATAAGGAAGGATTTTTGTTAAATATTTTAAAAAAGTTGTAAAGAAAATTTTTTCCATTAAAAAATTCTCATGTTAGTTCAATCTTTGAGAAAAAATTTTGATTATATCTGCAAAATATTCATAGAAAACCTAAAGATCCTTATTTAGAAAACCTAAAAATACTTTTATTATTTTCGTGAAATTTCTTCATCAACTGTATTTTATACATTTAAAATATTCTCTTGCTAATTAACTACTTCCTATTAAAAGTTCTTTCTTCAAGCAAAATTCCTCTCTTTTTATACCTATTTAATAGATTTTTGATTTTCTTATTATATGAAAAATTGTAATGAAATAAAATTGGCCTAGAAATTAATGAACGATATTCAAGAAATGATTCAATATCTTTCATTGAAAACTCAATACCACTTATCGATAAATTATTCAAGTTAGGTGAAGAATGATGTGTAAAAATTTGTAATAAATTTTCTTTAAATCCATCTTCAGGTTCTTTTAAAATTTTCTTATTGGGTATAATTCTTGGTAAACTAATAAAATCATCATTAATATTGTAAATGACAATATGTTGTAATTTATTGCGAGATTCTAATAAAGTTTTCATTTGATAACCATCGTCAGTCGACGCGGGGATTTCCAATTTGACAAGTTTTGGACAATGAACTCCAATTGAATTGATGAGTTTCCCCGTGTTTTGTCGATCAGCGATTGAGTAGCTTGATTTAATTACAATCTCTCTTACTTCTTCGTTAGTATGTTCAAAAAAACCAGCAAAATATTCAATATTCATCAAAAACCAATTATGAAAAGAGACCTTTTTAAGTTTCTTCAATGAAATTGTTGCTAAGGGTGCTAAACTTTCACGAGTTGTGAAAGGTGATCCATATCTAATCAATTTCAATTCTTCTAAATTTTCAAATTCTCCAAGGGTATGAATTGGGAAATCAAAAAAACAAAGCTCTAATCGTAATAAGCTTTTTGATTGCAATGCCATCCCCCGAAAAACATCTTGCTTTGAAAATGGAATGAGATAATTAAAATTTTCATAATTTTCATGATATATGAATAATTCTTGCAAATTGGCTTGAGTTCCAATCAAGTTACCCAGTTCCCCCGAATCCTCATATTTATTTATTACAATTTTTTTAATCTCTTTGCAATATGGTATTAACTTTTCAAACACTTGAGGGATTATTGTAATGGTACTGTCACACTCGATTTCTTGAAGGTTTGAAAAACACGTCCCAAATTCTGGAAATTTTGTTAAAATATCAACTAGTTTAGGGAGTGTGGCCTTGTTGCTAGAAATATAATAAGTGACAATCTTTCGAATAATTGATTCCTTCAAAATTAATTGTAACAAGTGAAGTATAACCAATTCAACTTTTTGTATAAATTCCTTCACTGAACAATTCTTTTGATTAGTCATCCAAGTCCAAACGCAATCTTCAATATACAAATTGAAAGTTCTCATAAAGCTCGTATAATTATGTATAAAAGGTTGAGATAATATTGGCATCACAATCCCTTTTTGTTGCAGAAAATTTTTGGATTTTTGAGGCAAGGATGAAATATAAATGTCGATGAGTTCGATTTGCTTTCGTTTACCCTTAATTTTATCATCTATTTCCTCAATAATCCAAGGATTACTCCATAATATCGAAATTGCACTTGCATTCCAAATCCGGTTTACACGAACACAAGAATTCAAAGATTTAAAATCATTTCGTAGGTACTCAAAGATATCGATTAGACAGTCTTCTGGAAGTAGTGACATCATCTTAACTAATAATAAAATTTAATAATTGCTATCTTTTAAATTCACAAAATACTAATACGAAAAGATACTTCGATTAGAAAGTTTTTATTTAAAATTTTACGAGGGAGAAAAAAATGAAATGAAAATAAAAAATAATCTTATTTTTTTTTAAATTTATAAACAAACCATTCAAAACAATTTATCCAAAAAAAGAAATGGGATGATAAATCAATTTTTTGAGGCGCAGTATACAAAGTTATTTCAGAACCTTTTTAATTTCCGTAACAGTAATGTTTTCATACAATTTAATTTAATTAATTAGGTTGTGCAATAATAATATTTTGGGGGGTAGGAAAAAAGGTAGTCATATGATTCATGTTTTTACTTGTTCTAACCATTTTGAATTATATAATTGGTTTTCTTGAACATATATATTGAAATAATTGTCTTAAAAGTTAAAAAATACAAATCGTTTTTTCAAGGTATTTATTTATAAGGATTAAAGGATTAGATTAATTCAGTCTTTTTTGAATTAATACAATTGTTTCTACTTTTAGATCATAAAGGAATCATCAGAATTATTTTTTGAGGTGATCGACATTTATAGTTAGATCAGATTCAGATGTAAATAAATGGTCCTGCAAAACATTCTCAGATTCTCACATAACTTAAAAATGGTATACGACCCAAGCACATTGTCTAATATTAACGAAGTACAAACTACTCACATTGAATTAAACTTAAAAGTTAATTTCGACTCAAAAACTCTCGATGGAACTGCTACATTGATTCTAATTTCCATAGCTGATAATGTTAGCAAAGTTGTTCTTGACACTAGAAATCTCAATGTTAAATCTGTTTCGCAAGCCAAGACACCACTGAAGGTACGATATATTTTGCGTGTTTTATAAATAAACAGCTTATCTATTAATTATTTGATCCCACAAAAGTTTCACTTGAGCGAAGAAACTGCTTGTTTTGGAAAAGGTTTGCACGTTGAACTTGATAAACCTTTAATTGCTGGTACCGAATTCAGATTGGAAATAGCCTATAATACCACAGAACAAAGTACAGCAGTTCAATGGTTAGAACCAAGGTACCTATATTAACAAATACTTTCATTAAATTTCTCCACTAAATCTAACGAAAATATATCACAGCCAAACTGTTGGAAAGAAACATCCTTATCTCTTTACACAATGTCAAGCAGTAAGGATCAAAGTAATATATATCAGTATGTGCTATAATCTGTCTAAACTAATTTTTGCTTCACTTTTTTTTAGATTCATGCACGATCGCTTTTGCCGTGCCAAGATACACCATCTATCAAATTAACTTATAATGCAAATATGCAAGTTCCTCACCCTCTTAGAGCTTTGATGAGTGCTATTGGAGTTGGAGAAGAGGATATGGTTAATAATAAGTGCAAACTTTATAAATTTGAACAAAAAGTCAAAATACCCTCTTACTTAATTGCTCTGGCAGTCGGAAATTTGAAAGGCAAGGAGATCGGTCCTAGATCAACTGTGTGGACTGAACCAGAAGTTTTAGAAGATGCTGCTTGGGAATTCTCAGACACTGAAAAATTTATTGCCACTGGGGAACAACTTTTGACCCCTTATAAATGGGGGAAATATGATTTATTGGTTCTTCCTGCTTCATTTCCTTAGTAAATTATCATCATATGTTCTGTTTCTATTGGAAATTATTTACGCCCGATAACCAATAGCCAACTTATTTTTTTTATTCTATAGTGGTGGTATGGAAAATCCTTGTTTAACATTTGTCACACCTACATTGTTAGCTGGAGATAAATCTCTTGTGGATGTAGTCGCACACGAAGCTTCTCATAGTTGGATGGGAAATCTTGTTACAACATTAAATTGGGTAAATGTAAAAGATAATTTTTTAAAATTGATATAAAAAGATTAATAATAATTCTTAATTATCATTTAGGAACATTTTTGGCTTAATGAAGGATGGACCGTCTTTATTGAAAGAAAGATTCTAGGTCGCGTACATGACGAGAAATTTAGTGATTTTAGCGCAATTATTGCATGGGGTCAATTAAAAGATGATATTGATCTTTTTGGCAAAGATAACCCCTTGACTGCATTACAACCTGTTTTGAAAGGAATAGATCCTGATGATTGTTTCTCCACTGTTCCATATGGTAAAATTTTTCTTCAAATAGGCAAACAAAATCATATATAGCAAATCGCTAATTTTTTACTTATCTTTTGTTACAGAAAAGGGATTTAATCTATTATATTACATTCAGAAAGTAGTGGGTGGCCCTAAATTTTTTGAACCATATATGAAGGCTTATGTTGAAGAATTTGCTGGCAAAGCAATCACCACAGATGATTGGAAAAATTTCTTATATTTATTCATGGAAAAAAATTATGGGTCCGAAAAAAAAGACGCATTAGATCAAATTGATTGGAATGCCTGGTTACATTCTCCTGGAATGGTAATTTGACCAAATAATATATATATTTTTTTAATGAAGTCTTATGGTAATATCGATTTTTTAGCCACCAATAAATAATGAATTTGACCAAACACTTGCGAAAGCATGTAATGAATTGGCTGAAAGGTTCGAAAATTTTTATATCACTATTAATTTCGTTTCAAAATAGACGATTAATGTTCTCTGTTTGTTAGGTGGGATTCGGCAAGAAAAAATGAAAATTTTGATGAATTCTCACCAAAAGACATTGAAAATTTTATTGCTGTTCAAAAAGGTAAGTTGATATATTGAACATAAATCTCGTCTAATTCAACATTTAATAATATCTGTGATATTTTTTTTTTAAAAAAAATTGAAAAGTGGTGTTCTTGGACCGAATGTTTGAATGTTCGCCTTTACCCCAATCAGCAATAATCGCATTGGATAAGATCTATAATTTAACTTCCGTTCGTAATTCTGAAATTCGTTTCAGATGGCAAAAATTATGTTTATTGACTGAATATGAACCGATATTTCCTCATGTGGTTAAATTTGTAACCGAACAAGGAAGAATGAAATATGTAAGACCTCTATATAGGTAAGTCCGATCAATTTACAGCTTAATTGGGTCAAGCGATAATGTTAATGCTCTTTTATTACTATCTAGAATGTTGAATGGTACCAAGAATGGATCAGATTTGGCGAAGAAAACTTTTATTGAGAACAGGTCATTTTACCATCCGATCGCGGCAACTATGATCGCGAAGGATATTTTAAACGAAACTTACAAATAAAAAAAAAATATTTTTTTTTTTCCCTTTTAATGGATATAGCCTTTTAAATTTTTGCAGGTTGTAGAAAAAATATTTTATTTTATTTTATTTTTTTTTTTTTGACCTCTTTAATTTTCATTATGTAAGCTCTACGAACAATGAAATAAAAAATCGCGTACCTTTCTTTCTCTACATTTCAACTTTTATTTTTCTTTCTTTTTTTTTTTCTCAAAATTTCCCTCAACCCTTTTCAAAATTGTAAAATACATTGGGCCATAACCATCACATTTATCTGGCAAAACGATCCATCCAAATTCAGTTTCTTCACCGATTTCCCATCCATTGTTTCTTTTAACCACTTGTAATTCCACCCAGCTATTTTCCAAAATTTTTTTAATCACGAGATCATTTTCCAAATTACTGATAGAACAAGTTGAATATACCAAAATACCATTAATCCTAAGGGCCTTAACAGCATCTAATAATATGTTGTATTGTTTTATCGAAAAAATTTTGGACCTGGATTCTTTCCACTTTGACAATTCATTTTGATCGGTGATTAAATGCCGTTCTGAAGAGCATGGAACGTCTACTAAGATTTTATCATAGCTATAATTCAGAGTAGGAGAATTCTTTACCAATTTGATATGATCTTGATGATATTTAAAAGGGATGTAAGATTTAATTACTTGCAAAAGTCTATGAAATCTCTTATTATTGATTTCATTAGCGATCAACATTCCTCGAGTCGATCTTCCTTCATTTTCACCTTCCCTTTGATCAACAATATTCAGAAGATGTTGTAAAATGGCCAATGATTTCCCACCAGGCGCAGCACACAAGTCCAGAACAATATCACCAGGTTGAACGTCTAAAGCCTTGGTAACCATTATAGAGGCCAGATCGAGATGATACACATTTAATATATTGTGTTCATCTTTTTTTGGTTTAGGAAATTTTGAATCACTAACGTAACATTCCACATCTAAATAATCAACCTTCATCATATCCGAATTGTTACTTGACTTTGAATCATGAATGAATTCAGATATGCTCACATTTGAAGCGAATTTATTTATCATTGCGCAAGACTTTGAAGGACCCTTTAACGAACTTAATAAATTTGGCCAACGTTCTTTACCATATTGATGAAAATAAAAGTTGTTGAATAGATCCGTTATCGAATTTAATTTTAATCGTTGAGCTTCTTCTTTCTTTTGTTTATTCCTTGATTTTAACTTGATCGATTTTTTAGAATTTAATCCTTCGGGTATTATCATGCTCGAAAACTTTTTAATTGATCTTGAACATAATGAACCTATGTATGATACACACATTTGATCGTATCAGCGAATTTTTATTTATCATTATAAAGCTCACACATTCTAACCTGGATCACCTGAACCTATAATCATCGATTTGTAAAGTAAAAGACATGATTTATTAGTGGTACAGTTCAATGATAATAGTTTGTGGTGATTCATAATCTAATAAATTCTGATAATAGAAATTTCAAAAAAAAGGGGACTGATAAAAAAAATCGTGTGAAATAAATAAATAAATATTTTGATTTCATCATCATCAAGATTATCAATTCAAGATAATCAAAAATATTTATATATATAGATATTTATCTTTATTACAAATAACTTTTCCCGTAAGACCTTAATAAAAAATTCATTATTCATTGTGATACATCAACACCATTGATGATCGTGAAATTGGCCCCTTCGTAATCACTACCAACCTCTTCATACCTACCACCCAAATAAACCGATAAAAATTTTTCTGTCATGGTATAAAATGATATTCTATTTTCTGGTCTAGCAAATCCATGACCTTCATCATTATATAATATATAATTAACTGGGATTGATTTTGATACTAATGACGAAACAATTTGATCGCTAAAAAATTAGAAAAGAGATTTAGTATTAAAAATATATATATATATATATATTTGATATGATCGTTTGATTAAAAGACAAAGCTTACGATTCTGCACGTTTAACCCGAGGATCATGTTGTCCTAGAGTTAGGTAAAAAGAAGGAAAGGATCAATACCAAATAAATAAATAATTATACATAAATACGTATTAAAAAAAAAAAAAATTTCACCTTGAACAATCAATAATGGTTTACAAATTTTATCAGCAAAATTTAAAGGACTACGACTTGACAAAAATTTAACACCTTCTTCAGTTTCGGGATCACCACCAACACGTTTCTTTAATTCGTTTAACTCTGCTTTCCAATATGACGGAATTGTTCTAATAAAAAGTTATATTTAATAACGAGATTACGGATTTATTTTAGAATTATATACCGAATAGTTTTCCAAAACTTACTTTAGAAGTGTCACTATGATTAAAAAAAAAAAAATAATTGTAAATAATATATAATATATATAAATAAAAAAAAAGCAGATCTAAATAATAGTTACCAAGGTTCGAAGGACCAACAACATCCACACCGGCAGCGAATACATCTGGCGTAAAGGTCAATCCCGCTAAGACAGCATAACCTCCATAGCTACCACCATAAATAGCAATTTTATCTTTCGATGCAATCCTTTCTTTAATCGCCCAGTTGACTGCATCTTTTTTAATTATAAAAATAAAAATCAATATTTTATGACAAAATAATATGTATATATTGTTAAAATATTATATTTACGGTAAAAGTTAACGTACCAATTAAATCGTCATGAGCTTTTCCACCCCATTCGCCGTTACCCGAACGGAGCAAAGTTTTGCCAAGGCCGGATGAACTCCTAAAATTTACACTTAAAACAGCATAACCACGATTAGCGAAGAATTGATGAACTGTATTTAAAGGAGTAAAATGCTCTCTAATCCAAGGTCCACCATGAACCGAAAGAATCATAGGTAAAGGGTGAGTAGGCTTATATTTAGTATAAGGATCATGTTTCTTCGGAGGAAGAGTTAGATAACTAACCAAGTCTAGGTTATCTCTGGATTTGATAATTACTGGGTATAAATTGACCAATTCAAATTTATCTAATTCTGGTCTTTGATTAAATAATAAATGAACACTCCTTTCTAATCTTTCATATAAATAATACTTTGCAGATTGAGTATCATTCTCATAACAAACAATCCAGATAGTATTATCTAAAGTTTGAGAAAGGAACGAGATGTCACCTTCATCTACACTTTTCAGGAAATCTAAATCCTTTGACACTTCAGAACAAATGGGGTGCCATGTTCTACGTAAATAATTTAAAGAGTAAGCTAATGGAACATTCGTACGAGGGTCTAGTAAGGTTTCTATAATATCAGATTTTTGATTTTCTGGATCTGCTACTAAATGAAGTTTTTTTTCAGGATCGCATAAATTAATTTTATATAAAGCATTATATTCTCTATCACGAGAATCGGTCAAATAAACCAATTCATCATCATCATCTTTTACCAATGATTTTATCTCGGAAGAAAATGTATCATCAAGATCATATTTAATCATTAATTCCCATTCATCATTAATTTTTCTATAAATTTCATTTGCCGCTTCATCGGTTTGTTTAGTGGCAAAACGAACTTCTAGATCATCATTCACAAAATAACTTAGAAATCCTTGAGTATTCTCTTCAATTAAATTAATTTCACCAGTTTTTACATTACTACGATATAACGAGAAGGCTGTTGGATCAGGGTTATTAATTGAGATAACAATTTCGTCAGGAAAATTCGGAGAAAATCCTTTGGGTGAGCTAGTTGTTTTATCGAATGGTGTTAATAAAATTTCTTGGCCAGAGTTTACGTCAACAGAATATAATTTAAAATCTATAAAAAGAAAATAAAAATTTTATTCCAATTATCTTTTTTGATTTCAATTATTTATTTATTTATTGGATGTTTGATTACCTTCATCACCATCCTTATCTTGTTGATAAATAATTCGATTACTAAAACTCCACGTGTATGTTCTGATACCACGATGTTTATCATTGGTAATTGCTCTCGCGGATGAAATATCCCTAGGATTGTCACAAACGTAAATGTTTAGTATACCATCTTTGGGCGCAAGAAATGCTAAATATTTTCCGTCATGAGAAAGGTTTGGCAAGGCTCTTGAAGGGTTACCAAAAAGGACTTTACGAGGTATAATTGGAGGTCGTGGCATGACAAATATGTAATAGCAGAATTATTGGAAAATCAAAGGGAACGAGTGAGGTGTTTATAATAATTCTTAAATTAAAAAAAAAAAAAAAAAAAAGAATCGAATCCATTCATATTTTATAAACGAGATGAATTACCTTGTCACAAGTTGTCGATCACGACAAACAAAGATGTTAAACATTGTATTACAAGTAATTTTGAATAATCATTTTCACATGATTATGTAATTAACGTCTCAAAATCATTCTTTTCTTCCTTTCTAAGAAATTTTAAAAAGTTTCACCTTTTATATAAATTACAATCACGAATTTCTTGTATTTTGCACTATACCGCTTAATAAACCATGATTCAAGAAAATAATCGGTTCATGAATTTACGCAGTAAAAACAATTTACATACTCGGCCTTAATATCAAGAAAGTATTCCCTCGTATCCTTTCTATAATGGCATTATCCAACGATCCAATGAATAAATTTATATATAGGTATCCCATAAACAATGGTGGCTTTGGAGTCCAATAAAATATAAGACTATGTCCAATAATATTTTCCAAATAGATTTTAACAATTTATTATACTTCGTTAAAATATTATATCATTGATGCATCTTTTACATGTTGTGACATAAAAAGTATATATTTATTATTATATTAATCATATATATTAATATAGTAATAATAATAATAAATAAAATTAAAGTAATTGTTTAATTACAAAGGTTGTAACTTATTTATATTTGTAATATAAAGTATAATTTTTATAGCTTTCTTTAAATAATTATATAACACTACTTTAAACGGAACTAGACATAAGTCCAATAGTCAAATAAAATTTGAAATTGAATTGGATAAGTCCAATAGTCCCATTGTCCAAAAAGGCCTTCACTGCCCATAAAAAAAGGTGGAGGAATTAATTAGATACGAGTCATTAATTATAAAAATTGAAGTATGATAAATTGTAGTGGGAAATCAATGATCGAATATCGAAAATCATTTGAAAAAAGCAGGGACCTCAAAATGACATTAAATAAATTTTTTGAGGTCTTTTGAAAGAATTCATTGCCGATTTCCTAAAAAGAATAAATGATTAAAATATCTTATGAATACTTATTTAAAAAAACTTGAATATCTGAAATAATTTTTAATCTCAACTGCCGATATCATAATACTGTAGTGTAGCATCGCAATTCCCTTTTTTTAAAAATCAACAAAAAAAGAAATAATAATTCAGCTTTACCTGACACTCGATTTTAGGGCATTCAACAATTGTAACTTCAAATCTTCCGAAATATTCTGGTATAAGGATTAGAATGTAAATGTTTAGTGTTTCTTAAATGGGCGCAGTAATAAATAAAGTGGGCGCAGTAAAGCATGGACGGATCAATAATATTCCAACATTATCGAATCATTTGTTCAAGCAAGCCGAGCTGTTACTCACTCCTCAACGCCATATGATGCATGAATTTATTCTTAACTCGATATGTACGTAAATTTATCATAGTTGATAACCCCAAATTTTAAAACATTCCAAGAAATCACAGCCACACTGTGAACTCATTGGGAACGTATGCTAAGGGATCGGGCGAAAACTTTTCGCTTTATTCCGACCCTTCCGAAACACTAGCATGTGCAAATTAGAAGTCAACTCGGCGCTAATCTTGTCCCAAATCATTATGGTCTGTTATAACAGGAGAAACTACATGTCAATTTTTGTTAAAGAATTGATTCTCGGTTTACGTGGACCATTGGATCGTTAGTCCCAGGACAAAGAGACTGCCCCGCTTTCGGTTGTGTTCGGTTTATTATGCCCTTCACTCCCCAATGTTAATCTTCTGTGTTACAGATTGTTTTGTTTGGGTATAGATCTTGATTCCATCAACTTTTAATTGGTTCAACTTAATTATCAATTTATTGGTCGGATAGAATAACTTAAATTTGGTTTTTATTTATAAAAACGATAGAAAATCTTGACCAAAATGAAATTAACATGTTGGATTTCCAAACATATGGTGTAAATTGATTGCGATAACAATAGTTATGATTAAAAATTATGAAACATTTAATTAAATAATAATAACGAAAGTGGGATAACAATGAGCAACCAAAAACGGAAATTACACAACAATCCTCTCTAAAAGCGTATTGAGGCTTATGATCCAATGGCTTTTATGACCAAGCCGTTTTATTTCAAAGGGCTGTGCCACATTTATTATGTATTTAGTTAAAATACCTAAAAAGATCAATACGATCAAATTCTATATACGGTATTACCGTAAATTTGATAGCGATATTTCCAAATGTTTTCAACAAACCTTGGATACCTCAGCCCTATTTCCATATTATACGCCCTCTTTTTATTAACGATTATTTTTTCAATTGTTAGTGTCCAAAACCATTTTATTTTTTTATTGTGTAAGAAAAGTACGTTTTATAATTCTAAAACCCCCCTTTCTTTTTATTATTATTATTACACATGAATTTTAAAAGGTAAAAGAAAATACAAATTCATTGGTTTCCTTTTTTTTTTTTTTTTTTGATTTGTTTTGATTTTTATAAAATTTTTACCTATTCCTTTTATTATTTCTTTTCTTTCTTTTTTTTTATTTCTTTTTCCAAATCAAAGAAATTAAAGCTCTGGTAGCTTTTGGATAATTAAAATTTAATTATAAATTATATATTTCTATTTATAATTTTTGTTTAACCAAAAAATTATAGGCCCATAAATAATAAAAAACGTCTCGACAATCCATTATTAAATATATTTTTTATTTACGAATTCCTTCTGATTTATACCACCTTAAAGAATTTTTTTTGAGTATCCTTTTCTTTTTATTAAAAAAATAAACAGAATAGTCACAAAAATTTTTTAAGGGGAAGATTAAAAATATTTACGGATTTTTTTTTTCGTTTTTTTTTTTGTTTAACAAACTTTAATTCTTTTTTGCCCACAAAACAAAAAAAAAATTTTTTTCTTTTCGCATTTTTCACATTTTCACACTTTCTTCATACATATTCATATTCATACATCATTATCAACGGCATAACGTCTTTATTTTTTTAGAAACGGGAAAAAAAATTACCTCTGGATATAATTAATTATCATTATTTGACATCCATCATTAACGAATAATATATCAATTCATTTTTATCTTCAAATATGGACTATTTAATAATTCGAAGAGCCGAAGATGCAGTTAGTAATGGAGCAGTTTCGTTGGGTCTTGATGAAAAGTTACAAAAAATGATCGGTTTGATTCTAGCGATAAGCAGCGGTAAGTTACAATAAAAGTCATTTATTTATATTTTGAATGCTATGATAAGATAGCATTCATTCAATTTTTTTTTTTTTTTTAAAAAAAAAAATGGAATTATTGTTTATAGGCGTATTTATTGGATCATCATTTGTGTTTAAGAAAAAAGGCCTTATTCAGGCCCAAGGTCAAGGTTGGTCGTCGTATGAATTTTTTTTTTTCCTTTGTTTAAAAAAAAAATTTCTCGATGTTAAATTGTCGATTTTTTCTTCTTTCGGAATAGCCGGATCAGTTGCGGGTCAAGGACATAATTATCTTTCAAACGGATTATGGTGGACAGGAATGATACTAAGTAAGCTTGTAAAAAATATAAAAAAAAAAAAAATAATAATTAAGAAGGTTTCATTCATTTGTAAAAATTAACCTAAATCGATGTTATCTTCATTTAGTGATTATTGGCGAAATATGTAATTTCGTTGCATACGCTTTTACACAAGCTATCCTAGTTACGCCCTTAGGTGCGCTTAGCGTAGTTATTAGGTAAATATCTACACTCATCGTTTAATAAATCTATAGAGGGACCAAATGTTGATTTCTTTTTTTTATTGTTAGTGCCATCTTATCTTCCATATTCTTAAAAGAAAGATTAAACTTTCAGGGTAAAATAGGTTGCACGCAATGTATCATCGGCGCAATTATAATTGTTTTACATGCTCCTAATCAACATACCCCAACAGATATCGAAGATTTTAAAAGGATGTTTTTCGCACCTGGTAATTCAATTAATGAAATGACATTTCATCTTCTATTTAATGCCACGATTAACCTTTATTCCTTTTTCCTTTATAGGTTTCTTGGTATACGCGATTTTGGCAATATTGGGATCGCTAGTAATTATTTGGAAAATAGCTCCAATATATGGGTCAAAACATATGCTGGTATACATTGGGATATGTTCGTTAATTGGATCCTTATCAGTGGTAACGACGCAAGGTCTTGGTACAGCTATACTTAAAACGTTTCAAGGAAATAATCAATTCACACATTGGTTTCTTTACGTGCTCATGGCATTCGTGTTAATAACGTTATTAACGGAAATTAATTATTTGAATAAGGCATTAAATTTATTTAATACGGCAATGGTAACACCAGTATATTACGTTACATTTACAAGTCTGACGATAATGAGTTCGGCGATCCTGTCACAAGGTTTTGAAGCCGAACCGAAAAGCGTTGTTACGGTTGTAATGGGATTTCTTGTGATTTGTAGTGGTATAGTATTATTACAAGTCTCAAAGTCAACAGGATTAGATAGTGTAGGAACAATTGATTCACCAACTGACGCAGATCTCGCTGATAATAGATTAAGCAGGGTTGATTATAATCCCGGTGCAGCAGAAATTCGAGCGAGTTTTGGTAGTATTCGCAGATATTCTATGAGTGCAGGTAAAACTCGCCCCACGTTGCCTTCACATACCATACCTACTAGTATTAAAGAAGATACGAATAGAAGAACCCAGAGTCTGAATTATGGTATAATTAAGAGAAGTAGTATGCGTGATAGTAATTTACCAACAATTAACGAGTTTGACAAAAATGCTGCACGTTATTCGTCGACAACAACAAAATCTTTAGGAAATCCACAAATTGATCCAATTACACTGACTCATGAAAAACATAATCAATCAAAGAATTCAATTATAAGATTTTTCTCTTCACCCATCTCAACTGAACCTGAAGAACGAAATGATACTACGAGAAGTCACCCTATCATTCATACCACAACACCTTCATTTTCTTCTTCTTCAACAAAAGTTGCTACTCCTCAAACTCCAACAAAGGAATTGCAATTAAATAAAGAAAATGACGGATATTATAATGAGCTAACTTTACCCCCTTTACCTTCCCCACTTCAACATCCAATAAATTATCTCAAACAACATTTGTCCCCAACCAATTCATTTATTTTGGATAATGGTTCCACTATCAATAGTGAAAGTTATAGTGGTACCGTCCGTGATAATTTAAGGAGACAAAGTAGCACTAGCTCATATAGAAGATCTCAAAATACCATGAGCATCGTCGATAGATTTAAAATTGGTAGAAATGTTGGCGGTGGAGTTGATGAACAAGTTGATAATGAAGTTCATGAAGGTTTGGTAAGGGATGTATCAAACAGGGGTTCTACTGGAAAAGACATAAGATAATTCAATTTTAAAAAAATGGATGTGTAGTATTATTTATTTTATTGTATAATACAGTTAGTACTTTTTATATTTATTTTTATAAACAGTATATATATCTTTTATATTTGGTAACATACTTATTCAGTCTAATGATTTTTTTTTTTTAAACCTTTTTTTCAATATTTTGTAATTGTAAATACAACAAAAAAAAAAACAAGTGCTACGAAAAAAGAAAAAAAAAGAAAAATTAGTACAGCAATAAAAAAAAACAAAACTTTCTTATCATAAAAAAAATTTCATTTTTTTGATACATAAAAGACGTTAATTCTGAGAAGTATCTAAAGTTATTTTTTAAAAGGCTGAATTTCTTATATAGGCTGCCTATTCATACCTTCTTGTTTTTTATTAATGCGTACACACAAAGAAATCATATAAAATAAAAATTCAATCAAAAAAAAAGGAAATTTCAAAATCTGACGTAGGCTAGACTGATTTAAATAGAAAGAAAAACATTTCATAAATTCTTATTTCAACAAATTTCGCCTCTTTCTCTTTTTTAACATGGAGGGACAACAATATCGTAAAGTTAGATATCCCTCTTCTGTTGATGAAGAAACGGCGGTCCTTGTGAAAAAAGATACATTCTCTTCCAACTATCCTTGTTCTTCCAAATCACCATTATTTAATGATAAATATCCAATGCACGTATTATCACATCCAGACAATCCTATCGTTTTTACTCATAGGATTTCTTATGATACGGGAAAGGACATATATTATGAAAATGGAATTACCAATAAAATATATCTAGAATTTTGGGACCGTGGAATTCTCGAGTTTAACAATATCGTATATTATCCTTCATATGATCATAATCGCAATCAGTATTGTAGAATGTAAGATTATATATATACATACACACATAAACATACATATATTATTTTTATTTTTCTTTTTATTTTTATTTTTATTTTATTTATTTTTTTTTTTTAAAAAAAAAAATGGGGAATTTCGATCGTAAAACTAAATTTCATTTATATGCAGTGCATATTTAACTCGGGATAACTTCGGCGAAAATTTCAGGAAACCATCCTATATGGTTTGGAAATTTGATTATGCCCCAACAAATCTACAGATTTCGGAGGGAACAGTTAGGTTACAACACTCCACATTAAATCCTGATACACAAATTGTGTGGTATATATGTAAACTTACTGGCAGTGATCCTATTGATCAAAAAAATTTAAATTGGAAAATGATTTGTTTTAACCCAACCATAAATCAACAACATAATTACTTATACTTCAACGTATTAAATGATGAATCTATAACCTACTTGATTAAAGGCGGGACAGGATTTATGCTAAGAGTTGAATTGATAGGTGGCTACAATTGGGAGGATGCGCAATTATTCAGACAAAATATGGATGAAAGGGATCCTCAAGGACTCTATGCTCAGACTGAGACCTCACCATTTGGGATGGATATTAGGATTAAATTGAAACAAAAGAAAACTGATGAGCCTAATTCTAAAAGATCTATCGTGTATCAAGCTTCCAAAAAAGAAGAAATTACGAATAATCCATCCGATCCATTTGTAACCGGATTATTTAATAACATTTATAGGCTTAACGTTTTACCACATCAAGAAAAGTCAAACACCTTCCTACATAGGATGTCTTACAATGCTCGAACGGACGCGTATTACGAAAATGGTATCATTAAAAAGAAATATTTAAGGATATGGCGAAGAGGAACATTAAAGTGCAAAAATATAGCTTACGATGCAGATGATCGTTCGAATACGATTTATTTGTGCAAAAATCCATTCTCTTCAGTATGGTCCCCTTCGCTAATCATGTGGAAATTTGATTACAGACCCGGAAATTTATTAATTTCATCATTATCTATAAAGCTTGATACCGCAATGGAAAGGAACTATTATATATCCTGGTCAATTTTAGCTTTTCCCTCGAATAAGAATCGAAATCCTGAATGGAAATCGATAGAATTTGAGACAGAAATGATTTCTCATGATGTGGTAAATTATTTTTCCTGGAACGGTAGAAAAGATATTTCGGATCTTGTTAAACACGAATATGGATTCATTTTGAAAGGGGAAATCGTGTATTGTTCAAGAGAACTTTCATGGATAGAAGCAGTACTATTTAAACAGAAAATGAATAAACCTATGCCTTTAGTGGATGATGATGAAAATTTCGGGATGGACATTAGAGTTGAATTGGTTCCTGATATAAAATGCGACCAATTACCTTTGTTACAATGGAAAGGTAGTTTTTCTGCGACCTTGAATGATAAAAACACTTGTGACTTTATCATAATTCTAAAACAAAACGAATTCAAGGGAGAATTACAAAATTGTATCCCGGATTTTAAAGGAGATTTCTATGTTCATTCTTATATCCTCTCAGAGTTCTCAGATTATTTTAAAGCGATGTTTAATTCTAATATGCTTGAAGCAAATGAGAGAAGGCTTGAGCTTTATGGTGTTTCTTATCTACTGTTGGATAAGATACTTTATTTTATGTATTATGGAAAGATACTTCCTGTTAATGGATTGAATCAATGGTATGAATTACTTTATGGAGCAACAAGATTTTTTGTTCAAACATTAATTCAACGTTGCGAAAAAGAAATTTCAAAGTACGTAACCGAAAGTAATATATATGAAATTCATGATTTAGCGGTGGATTGTGGTGCGCAACAATTGATTAGGTATTGTGATATGTTTTATATAGGTGATGAAATTTATGAAATTTAGATACATATATACATTCATTATTTTTTCATATTAGCAAGGAAAAAACTTTAAGGCAATGAATTCTTTATTTTTCAGAGACCCTTCATTACAAAAATTTTTTTGTCTAAATTAATTTTTGATAACTTAAATCATTTTGAGAATTATCAAAGATTTCGTTAGTTAAAAATTTTACCTACCAAATGAGAGATTCGCTACGAAGGGCCACATAGATGAAAAGTTGTTTCTTTTGATACCGATTTTAAGTTCTATATCATAAATAAGCCATATGTGAAATAATCATTTTCGTTATATTATTTTTTTTTTTATAAAATAATAAAGTTAGTATATAACACTGTCTAAAAAAGGTATCGAAAGCTATTATGATGTTTGTAGGCAAATTTCGGTTCTAATTGTAAGTTTTATAAGATCACGTTTACCCGTTGATCGATTCGACATTTGTCATTATTCAACAAGTCCTAGCAAAACAGAAAACACGTCTAGCTTTTCGCTTCAACTCAAAATATTTTACCCTCTTGTTCAGGGGAAAACTGGAAAGTGGGAAATGAAATTTTGACAGGCAGTGGTATAAATTCAATATGTAAAATATGCGCAAACGTTAATATCATCATATACGCGTGTAAAAAATTTATGACGCGTAAACTAAAAAAAAAAAAAAGATCGGTTCACGAAATAAAGAATCTGGAATATATTTTGGAGATTATCCTAAAATTAATCATGCGTATCGGACTTTTATATCATAATATTTATTAATCACGCGTATAAATCAATAAGTTTCGGACTTTTGAGACTCGAAATGTTGATTGACAAAGTTTCAGAGCGTATCAATAAGTTTCTGATTGTGAACAAATTTAGAAATTACGAGTCCAATCGCTTATCTATAATAAGTAACTCTTGATAAATGTCATAATAAAATTTTATGAATAACTTTTGGTAAAAATATGAACTTTGAAATCGACAATTTTCATGGGACCGACAAGGTGGGAACAATCCTTAAAATTTCAAAATTAGATTCTGAATTCTCGCATAAATTTAATAATAAATATTCAATTAATACATTCTCATTAGAAAGTAAAATATAATGCCAGTAAAACAAAAATCTTCTCTAGAACTGGCTAATTATTTGGACTTTTAGAACCGCTTTGGACCATTTAATATCCCTATAAAAAATGTAATAATATAAATGTAATAATGATGTAAGAATGTAATGGTAAGTATAAGAATATAAGAATATAATAAATAAAAATAGTTAAAATTATTATGAGATAATAAATATATTAGAATAGTCATAAGAATGTAAGTAAGGATGTAAATACCATACAGTGGTGATCATAAGTATCCTACCTCTTGCCATTTTATAAATATCAAATAATTATAAAAATTTTTTATTAATATAAAGTACTTCTGATAATTAATAAATAATATAGTCTCCTTCTGAATCTATTAATACTGTGATGTGACCCTATTACTAAGCAAATTTTTAGCCAATTGATCAGATAATCAATTCCATTCTTTTGTTATTTTCCTCTTAATCCTTTAGTTATATAATTTTTATTTTGATAATTTTATTTTTAAAATCATCAGACATTCTCAATTGGGTTTTAATCAGATACATTAATAGCTAGGAAAGTTCAATCACATGATATTCTTCTTTTCATTTTTTTGCAAATTTTCAAATGGTATTTGGGATTGTTGTTATTCTTCAAAATCCATTCTTTATCTTCACCAAAAAGCTTACAAACAGAAGACAAAAAACCCTTTTACTAAATATTATACATAAAGATAGAATCAAAGATTTCTAAGCAAATTAGTTTACTAAATCCTGAAGCAGAAAAACAACTCTAAATATGAATTTTTTATGCATGTTTAATTGTTTAAAATACTTTTCATCATTTAATAAATTGCCAAACCTTTCTATTCAATTGGTATAATTGAAAGCTACTTTCATAAGAAAAAATAATCTTATTCTAATTGAAATTTTAATGATTTTTTACCTATTTTAATTAATTGATCTGATGCTTTTCAGTAAGTAGTTAATTTTGAATTTCTTAATAAATTTTCACATAGCTTAATAAATGTTGCCTAATTATTCTTTCACTTACCTCAATATCTTTTTTTAAATCCTGTCGTATTTTATACTAATTGCATTATAATTTTTTCATTATTTTAACTATTTGTTTATTTTTCCTTTCTGTTATGCAATGTGATCTACCTGACCTTTTTTCTTTAGTTAAATTCTTATTTTTCTGATATTTTTTTACCTAATAAATTATAGTAAGTTTACTACAGTAAATATACTTTGCTATTTTTTCATAACCCTATTTGAACTAGCTGAATATTTATGTAAAAATGAAATTTCATATTGTTTATCTAAAGAGAAAGTCATTTTTATAATATAACATATATTAATCATCTAACTTCTGATTTATATATTATACAAACCTATTCTTTAGATTATCTAGTAAGCAATTTGCCTATAAAATTAATAAAAAATGGTAAATATTAATTTTAATAATATTATTACTATATAAAATATATAGTTTAATATATATTTTTATTAACTTTATTAATAAAAATATTAAGTTTTTAAAAGGTTTTTAAAATATTTTAATTTTAAAATTAAGTTTCAAAAATTTTATTATAATAATTTTTTAAAAATTCTTTAGAAATTTATAAGTTTGCGTACTAATTAAATCACTTTATTATTAATTAAAATCATAAAATTTTTTAATAAATTTTAAAAATTATAATAATAAAAGTTATTCTTTATAAATAATTTTATAATATTTTATTATGATAAATATAGTTAAAAATAAATTCTAAAAAGTTTATCATAAATTAATCGTAAAATTTTTTAATATAATTTTTTTTTAGAAATTACAAATTATTAGTTTTTAAATAAATATTAAATTTTTTATTATATAATTAAAAGATAATATTTGTTATAATATATTATATATTTATAAAATTAATTTTAATTAAAAATATTAATTATTTATAAAATAATCAAAAAAGAATTTATAATAAATAAGCAAGTAAATATGCTTGCGAAATCTTACAATCTAAGAAATAATTGTATATGTAATCAATATTGATATTATACTTGAATTTTAAAAAAACTTATAGGTATTATTGCTTAATTTTAAAAAATATGACCAAAATATGAAGGGTAGAATACTTATAATTGCTACTGTATATTATGATTATAGTACCTGGATCCTTTACAAATTTTTAAAGCTTTTTAGTTATACCTAAAGATACATTAAATAGGTAGATATCCTATAAGAAATCGAAATAAGAAAATAATACGTTTTTTATAAGGTTTGTATACGTAATTAATGATTCTATATCAAAATTCCGTATGTTTTATAATGATTTATTT